GTTCCCTGAAAAGGCAGAAGCTTATCAATAGATAACGACCACCAAGAACCACTACAAGAATGCTAAAAATCTTATCCCTCTTCCTAGAACTACAAACTTTAATCCCTTATTTGTCTTTCTAAACTTCCTTCTTTCTTCTATAATGGTCATTGCTTGTTATGTAGATCACCTCCCTGATAGTGGTAGACTGAGCCCATGAGCAAGCTAATTTCCTTGATATTCATTCCTGTGCTTTTGAAAAACATATATATACTGGTCACAAATTTAGAGAAAATTACACTCAGATTTTCACTCTTGAAGTGTGTCTGTTTGTCATTTCTTTCGCCGACGCCCTGACCACCCTGCACGCTTCTCTCAACCCTGAGGTGGCCTCATCGTCTACTGCTGTGCTGGTTCGCGGCACAGGAATAAAACAGAAAATATGGCTACAGATTATACAACCATTAAAGGGATAAATGTTATGAACAACTTTACACCCATAAATGTCATACCTTAGAAGCAATGAACCAATTCCTCAAAAACCATAAACTACTTAGCTAAATCAAAATGAAATAGATAAGCTGAAGAGTCCTGAAGCTATTTAAGATATTGCATTTGTAATTAAAAAGCTACCAAAAAAATTTAATCTAGCATTTTAGAAAAATTAATACCAGCTTTACACAATCTCTTCCAGGAAATTAATACCAGCTTTACACAATCTCTTCCAGGAAATAAGAGAAAGAAACATTTCCCAGCTTGTCTTATGAGGCCACTATTATGCTAACACTACAACCAGACAAAAACAATAGAAAAAACAGACCAATATCTCTCATGAACTTTTAGACACAAGAATATGAAAATACAGTCGTACATTGCTTTAACAACATGTCACTCAACAATGGACTGCTATACAACAGTGGGCTATGCCATACACAGCCTGGGGGTGCAGTAGGCTATACCACTCGGTTTGTGTAATGATTCTCCATGACATTCATGCAATGACATCACCTAACAGTGCATTTCTCATTTGTGAAGCCATGCACGATTACATATTAGCAAACTGAAACCAACAACAAATAAAAATGATACAACACGATCAAATGGGATTTATTTCAGGTGTGCAAGATTGAGTCACTATTCAGAAGACAATCAATGTAATACACTATATCTACAGACTAAAAAAGTCAAATCATTTCAATTCATGCAGAAAAAGCAGCCAAGCTGCCGGAGGGCAGCCTGGGGCTCCAGATCACCCTTTGCCACTGAGTGGAGGGTCAGGAGATGCCAGTTTGTTGGGGTAGCCAAGAGGGCCTCCATGCCATGGGTGGGGATGGAATGTGGAAAAGGGTAGAAGTAGAGCCCACTGCTGACCCTAGGTTTGTCCCCTTTCTGATCTCACATTTCTTTTGTTTCATCAATGCCAACTGGGAGTTTGGGGGTCTCTAGGGGTGCAGTGCAGGATATACGGGAAGTATGGAGAAACCCCAGGGAATTCACCCAGGGTATTATTATTCAAGCCCTGCAGTTCCTAGGCAGTTCATCTTCCCATCTCTCTGAGTCCTTTATGATCATCTGTGAAAATATTTCCAGGGTAATTAATTAACTTTAGAGGGGGAAGCAGCAAAAAGTGACTCTACACCATCTTGTGCCATAAGCACAGGGTGACTTCTTTCAAAAGTAAAAATGAACTTGACAGACACCCAGCAATTGTTCTTTTGGGCATTTATCCCAGAGAAATAAAGACTCGTGTTTACACTTGAAACTTGTACATGAAATTTCACAGCAGCTTTATTTATAACAATTCCAAAGTTGAGCTATCCAAATGGCCTCCAAGGGGTGAATGGTTAAACAAACCGTCCAACATCTATAATGTGTGATAAACCAACAGTAAAAAGGAGAAGTTATTGGTAACAGAACAACTCACCGAGGGAATCATGCTGAGTGAAGATAAAGTCGATCTGAAACTATGACATGTTGTAGAATTCCATTTACATATTATTTTTGAATACAAAAAATAAAACGGACAGATGGAAATTAGAAACCAGTTAGGGATTGCCAGGGGATGGGGGGCATTTCCATGAAGGGGGTAGCACAGGGATCCCTGCGTTCTGGGAGCACTGGCAGAGGGAAGACAGAAATAGCTTTCTAGCTGCGTGATTCAGTGGTATTTCATGGGGCCTCTGAACCATGCTAAATGTTAGCGATAACGCTCTGATCATTTTGTTCATCAGCAACCCCATTCCACACTTTGGGAACATTCTAGGATGCTTGGCACTTAATCATGGTTCCAAAAAGAAAAAAACAAAACAGGGATAGCCCCTACTGGGTTCCAAATATAAGGCTATTGAATAATGAAATATTATTGAGATCATTTCCAAAATTGTTTTACAAATGACAATCAGATCAGCAGGGGGAGTCAGGTATGGTGAGAGTCCGGCCTTGGCTTTGCAGTGACCCAGGATCCAGGTCCTCGGGATGATGGTTGAATATGTGGCCATTCCAGGCAGCTGGATGCAGACAGGTGCACAGGGAGGGAAACACACATAGTCACGCTGTCCTCCCGAACCTGGCATTTTACAGTGAAGTCATGGATTGGGCAATACATTTAGAAATTTAGAGGTAGGGTTTCAGGAAAAGATCTTAAATTCAAGTAAAATATGTGTGTGTATGTGTGACCCTTACCTATTGACCCCTGAGCCTTGGCAGTTAGCCAACATGGACCATTTATGCATGCAAACTTGGCCCGATCCTTCTTGTGCAAACGTCCAACCTGCGTCCTGGAGCCGCCACTGTGGCCCTTACTCGAGCTGCTTATTAGAACACTAAATTACACACCAGCCGGCTGTCTGATGAGCTCCTTCTCCTCCAGGATGCGGGACAAGCAAAGCTGCGGAAGCTCCCTGAGGAGGTGAGTGGGCTTCTGCCTGCCCCTCCCCCTTTCTATAGGCAACGACTTTAATTGAATTAAAACCCTCCAGTGGTTCTGTGATGGGGGGGTGGGGGCGGGGCACAGAGCTGCAGTCAAATCCCCTCACTATTAAGTAGGAGATGAGAGAAACTTCCTGTCCCGGGGAGAGACCCTGGAGTCCTCCAGGGGAAGCCCGCCCTACCTGCCTCTCTCGGGTCCAGAGAACCCTCTGGAGAGCAGGCTCCCGGCTCTGGCCCAGAGGAAGGGCGGGCGGCACTGTGGGAAAGAGGCAGGGGACAGATGGAGGGGCAGAGGGCGGGTGTCCCGACATGCACAGATGTGCAAATACCCAGATTCAAGCGTAAGCTGAATGTAATTACTTGGTTAATTAAATATTGACTTTTAACTCAAAAAGTGATTAAAACAGGACTGTCCAGAAAGGAGAGGGGGCAGGGAATGCATCAGAACTGGCAGGATGGGGAAAGAGGAGGATGAGGGTTGCTCAGTGGAAGGCCTGGCCTGTCCTACTGTGCGCAGGGAGCTGGTCTTCAGTGTCCAGGCAGGCAGGGAGCCGCAGAGAGGGGTCACTGTGCAAAAGTGGGCTTTGCAGGCGTCCCCTTACAACATGTTCCACTCTCAGCCCCCATCTCCTCACCGGGCTGCCCTTAGAGTGAACAGAGCTTGGGAGGCAGGAACCAGATACTGTTCACTGCCTTTCCTGGAGCATAAGGGGTACCTGGCCCGAGGGGTACCTGGCCCGAGGGGTGCTTGGCCCAAGGAGTGTTTTATCAGTGTTTTAGAATGACTGAATGAACTTCTGTGCAACCAGTGGCAATGTATGTGGGGAGTTTTGCATGAGTGCCTGTGCGTGTGCCTGGTGCACGTGCACAGTTCTGTGTGTGCATCTGTCTGCACATGCCTGTGTGTGCATGTACAAGCATGTGTGTAAGTTTACCATAGACAGGTGCTAGAATTCAGGTGTCGGGCCAGGGCAAAACTCACCAGCTTAGACCCCTACAGGGTCTGAGGGTCTGCAAAGCATTTCTTTCCCATAATTCACAGCCAACTCTCCACCCCTCTAGGTTTGAGGACTCAGCCTGAGTTTTCCGTTTGGGATTTTGGTGTCTGCCTGAGAGACTCGAGGGGCTTCAGGGGTCCAGCCTGAGCAGTCTTAGCCATGGCTCAGCCAGGCTGCCTGGGGCCGCAGTAAGACTCTCAGGACCCTTGAGGGCCGCCTGATTCTCCTCGCCCACCCACATGGTCCAGGACAACCTTTCTGCTGTGTCCCTCCTCACCCTGATGGCATCTCTCTCTGGGGTTGTCCTGACAGGACACCTGCGCACCTCAGTTCCTCATGTGAGGTCCCTAACAGCCCTTTCGCACAGAATGCCGTCCCATTCAGCTCCCGTGCAGAGCCAGAATTTTATTCTATTTCCTGGACTTCTGTGCAACAATTTTAAAAACACTATTCCTCCTTTGTGCTTCTTTACCTCCATCAAGAGCTGAAATACAACCCGAACTCTTTTTGTCCAAACACTTTCTGGCTGGGTTTGGGTTGGGAGCGGAGGGGATTTTATGAGGTTATAAAAGTCAAGGTTTCAACAAGTCCAACAAATTGGTGAGTGAAGGAGAAACATTAAAAGTAGGAAAAATGACGTGTCCTGGGATGCATCCCACACACCTGTAAAGAAGGGCGTGGTGCTGGAGCAGGGACTCCCAAGCTCACACAGCTGCCCCGCCCCCTCCAAATAAATGCTTTGCAAGAGCAAAAGATGCTGCAGAGTCACCCTCAGAGGGCGGGGGCCGGCTCCTCAGTTCCCGAGCAGACAGCCTGGCATGTATTTTAAAACAAATCCCAGCATGGTGGAAACAATACCCTCTTGTGGTTAATTCTGCCTGAGTTTTCATTTAGACATCAGCTGTCTTGTATGCAGAACTGTAATTGCATTAGGAGAAAAATCTGTTTATATGTCTTGAGAAATTATGATCATGAAAAATAGCGGCATAAGCCCCCATTAAGTCAGAAGAAAGATAATTGTCTTTCAGGCTGCCTGGCTGGGCCGGCGCTGACACAGAGATGGATCGACTTCAGTAAAATAGGACTCATTTTCGGAGCGAGGTACCCATCTTCCCCTTTAATTACACATAGCTGCACGGCCTCATTTGTATTAATGCCCGATGCCTACCAGCGCATCCTCATGAAGGGAGGGTTCGTTTGGGAGACGGGGAATTACAAGCCAGTTTAATTGCAGTCGCCCGTGAGTGTTTCACTGGTGAAGGACAGAGCGTCTTGGCCGGTTAAGATGCTGCCCTGGAACATAGATAAAGGTGGCCATTTGTCTGTTTGCTTTTATCCACCAATAGTTCTCTCCCGGGTAAGTGGACAAGGAAGATTAAGCACGTGGAGCTCACTGTGCGATGAAATAGACACTCGAGCAGCATTAGTGCCCGTGTAATGGAGTATTAAAATGAGTAACGCAGCCCCGGGGCAGCTCAGGTGCAAATCTCAGTGGGCAGGTATCGCTGGCGGGTCTCCACGGATAATGGTGGCCTAAGGGGGGAAAGCAGGGTCCGTTGGATGATAAGCGCATTTCAATTTGGTCTCTCCCTGCGATGGTAGATCGTGTTTTATAGTCACCTTCTAGATAATCTACTTGGGAGATGATTAATGGGGCTCCTGATTTAATAAAAGCAGAGCAGGGCAGCCCCAGGGGAGGTTCTAACTCACCTGGTTCTGCCCACAGGGGCTGACCACCCCCGGCCTCAGTCTCCTCATCTTTAGGTGGGGATAATGTCGACAGGATGGCTGGATTAAGTGGAGTCAACGAGGATAAAATGCCCAACACAGGCCGGTTCTGAATCTGCGGTGTCACTTCAGAGCAGGAAAATGGCCCTTTCCTGGTAGGACACCTTGGGAGGAAAGCCACATGTGAGATCTTGCTGGGTGCTTTGATTTGGGGGCTCAGGACACCAAGCCGCCTTGGGCAGCTCTGATGAGCCTCTTGCTCAGGTATTTGTTCATTGGATAGACACTACTAAGGGGTGTTCCAGGACAGAGCAAAGGCAGGGGTTATAAATAGGAGGTGACACTTGCTTTTTGGGGGTGGAGGCAGCTTTCAGTCTAGAAGGAGAAACATAAGAAGTGGGCACAACAGAATTTGTGGGTCTGCGCCAGTGGTAGTGTGTCCAGCTCTTGGGGGCAGATCAATCCTCCCAGGCAGACATTCCCACCAGTGGGCCATTTGACCACTTCTGGCCAAGATGTCACTCAGGGCCCACCAGCTGGGAGCTTCTGGAAAATCCTTTTCTCTGTGTTAAAATGTGAGGGGAGATCCCTGTCCAGCTTCTGCTTAGTTACAGGGAGAAGACAGAATGTAGCTTGTGACCTGACAAAGAATGAAACCAGATAAGCAGCAAGGTCATTGCTTTCGCAAACCCAAAGGCATGCTGAGGTCGTGGGGCAACCAACAGTCCCAAAACCGAAGGCGAAAGAGGCACCTGCAGGGAGAGATGAGAGAGGCTTAGCTGGTGAATTCAGAAGGTCTGCCAGGGCGGTAATTCTCAGCAGGGGCCATCTTGCCTCCCAGGAGGCATTTGGCAGTGCCTGCAGAAATGGTTACAGCTGGACTGGAAGAGCTACTGGCACCTAGTGGTTGGGGGTCAAGGATGCTGCTAAACATCCTAAGAGGCACAGGATGGGCCCCCAACAGCAAATACACATCCAGTTCAAAATGTCAGCAGTGTCAGGACTGAGAACCCAAGTTCAACCAACATGGTCTCTTGGCTGGACAACATAATAGGTTCCTAACTTCCCCCAGATTCTGCCCTTGCTCCTGCAGTCCATTTCCACACAGGAGCCCAAGGGCTATGCTACAATATAAACCCAATCATGACATTTGTCTGCTTGAGTCCCTCAGAGGACTCCCCTCCCAGCCTGCCTGTGTCTACATAACCTGCAAAACCTGCTCCCCCCGGGGTCTTCTCATTTAATATCCCACCATGCTCTTCCCTCCTCCCACTTCATTCTATTCGGATTGATCTCACTGCATCCCTGAAAGATGTCAAGAACATTCCTACCCCAGGGCCTTTACACTTGCTTCCTCTGACTAGAATGCTCTTCTCTGCTTCAAGGCTGATGGCCCTGTTTCATCCCAGTCTTTGCTCAAAAGCACACACTAGAACAGTGACTGGGCTTGATTTGTTCAAAGGGACCAATGCGGCCGGGTAGGTCATCAAGGACAAGGTGACATTTGGGAGACTGAGAGTTCTAGATTATGGAGGGCCTTGTAGCAGTAGGAACATGTTTGGGTTTTGTTCCAAGTGGAGCTCAGTGAAACATTTCGAGCAAAGATGTAAAAAGATCTAACTAGATGCATGTTTTTAAAGATGAATCTGCCTTCCAGAAAGCAAAAGGCAAGGGGAGAAGACCAGTTGGGAGACCACCAGCATGGGTGGTGGTGGGCTAGGATGGTGGGGTGAGGCCAAGAGAGACTGACATCTTAAAAGGATTCAAAAAAATAAATAAAATTTTCTGATGAAATGAAAGATCTCTCAATTTTCTTCTAGGTAACAACAGAAGAGGTGGCTAGGGAGGACTTTCATCTCCTTCTCCGGGACTCCCCTGAACCCTTCAACCCAACCGCTTGGAACAAATATAAAGACAAAGCAAATTCCTTCCCAACAGTGCCCTTGTCTTGCCACCAACTGTAGTCACGCTGAGACACAGACACAGCTATGGATGGATTGAAAACTCAATTGATGAATAAGCTAATGATAGAAAAAAAATCTAAAGAGAACACTTAGGAAACAGAGAACCACTTCACTGCAATTTGAAACAATAATAAAAAGAGGCATATTCTGAGTGGGAAATGTGGCTCAGAGGTTAGAGATTGCAGGGCCTGGGGGGTAAGGTCTCTACTTCACTGGCATCCCAGGCAGCACACACAGACCTTCAGAAGTTTTGAGGCAAGTCCCTGCATCCTCC